CGTCTAAGAAATCAGAAAACATGCTTTTAACCTCGGCCGTCATGGAGGTTTTCAATGTGTCTAAAACCACATTGAATTCCTCACGAGAGACCGAGGCTCCCCCTTCGGCCGTGGACGAGATGGGATTCACACCGGAGTGCTCCTCCGCACCGTCGTGGGTGTCAACCATACTCTCCGGACGGCAAAGTCCTTAATAAAGAGACGAGGCTCTGATACCAATTGAAAGAATCGATATGGTTGACTAGAGGGGGGGGGGGGTGAATAGGCAACTAACAATTTTTAAACTTTTCTTTAACAATCTAAACCTTGCAATGAAATAGGTTGTCTAGATGTGCAACTACGTGGACAACCTATATGATGCAAAGACAATAAGCACACAAGCAAGCAATGGATATAACTTAAGTAAGCTTGCAAAAGTAAAGGGACAAGATAACCAAGAGTGGAGCCGGTGGAGACGAGGATGTGTTACCGAAGCTCCTTCCTTTTAAGGGGAAGTACGTCTCCGTTAGAGCGGTGTGGAGGCACAATGCTCCCCAAGAAGCTACTAGGGCCACCGTAATCTCCTCACGCCCTCACACAATGCGAGATGCCGTGATTCCACTATTGGAGCCCTTGAAGGCGGCAACCAGACCTTTACAAACAAGATTGGGGCTATCTCTACAACACTTGGAGGCTCCCAACAACACCACGAAGCTTCACCACAATGGAGTATGGCTTCGAGGTGACCTCAACCGTCTAGGGTGCTCAACACCCAAGAGTAACAAGATTCGCTAGGGATAAGTGGGGGGAATCAAATTTCTCTTGGTGGAAGTGTAGATCTGGGCCTTCTCAACCAATCCCGAGCAAATCAACAAGTTTGATTGGCTAGGGAGAGATATCGGGCGAAAATGGAGCTTGGAGAAACAATGGAGCTTTGGGGGAAAGAGGTAAGTCAACTTTGGGGAAGAAGACCCCTTTATATAGTGGGAAGAACAAACCAACCGTTACCCCACTCACCAGCCCCGCACAGAGCGGTACTACCGCTAGGGAAGGGCGGTACTACCACTCCGGGCGGTACTACCGCTCGACCCAGCGGTACTGCCGCGCTGCCCGGGGCCCTGACCCCAGGGCGGTACTACCGCTAGGGAAGAGCGGTACTACCGCTTAGGGCGGTACTACCGCTCCTACTACCTCCCTTAGTGCCGCAAAACCCGACACGAAAAACTTTGTTCGAGAATTGAGGCGGAAGTAGCCCAGACGCACAGCGATACTACGGCCAAAAATCCCAAGCGGTACTACCGTTCTGAGAGCGGTACTACCGCTTGGAGCGGTACTACCGCTCTGAGAGCGGTACTACCGCTGGAGAGCTTCGGCGGTACTACCGCTGTGGTCGCGGTACTACCGCTGGGGCAGAGCAAAGGATAGCAAGGGGAAAACGGCAGCTCCAGAGATGCGGAAGGCAAGACGACGGGTGTGATAAGGATGTGTACGTGTGATTCCACCCAAGTTTTACCAAAGCGGATCCCCTCTTGATAGTACGGTGACTCCTACGAAACTAGTCCACCAACAACGAAACGAGGGAGCTACACCGTCTTGAATACAACACCGAGGGGAGGAAATCGTCTCGCGCCAATGGATGAATCTCTAAAAGAACTAAACGCACACGATTAGTCCGCACAAGCATTGTCATTAATCACCAAAACATCTTGGGAATAAATATGCCCTTACAACAGGGCCATCGTAAATTACATAACGGCTACAAGGAAACTAACGTCTTTTGACCACCTCCTAAGCCAATGGCTCCGTGACAACCCACGAGCGCCGTGCTAGTTATTTGTAGGTTATAACTGTTTTCCTTACGGCAACACTAAACATTAGACTACTGATTTTTGGCTTTGCATCAGACTAGTTGTTGGCCGTTTGATCGGAAGCACCAGAGTCGTCCGATGGTATGTAGGCCCGGGTGAGCTTTTGATGTGAGTAAAACGTGGGCTGAGAGGCTGGGATCCGGCTTGCCTACTTTCTTTCCATACTCCCGTCCGTGCTCCCACTTCATCCCACGGCTGTCTTTTTTCCTTTTCTCTTTCTAATGTAATCATCTTCCCCTGATTTTAAAGGGGTGGGGCCGGGCCTTATTTTATTCTAATCAAAACAAGCCACGTACGCGGGAGCACGGATGGGCACACGCCGGTGTTTTATTTGAAATGTAATTGTTCTTTCCGTGTAACTGCTTCCATAAATTACGTTGTGATTTACCATATTTCTTCCTCCATTTACGTCCATGCTTCCTGCTTCCAGTATTTCCTTTGCAGCGGATAACTGGGTATAATTTATTTGAAATGTAATTGTTTGCTTCCAACACAACAAATTATGTTTCCTTAGATAGAAAATTTTGCTTCAAATGTAACAGAAACTTGAGTCAGTCTGATTTTTAAAAATAAAATTATTTGTGTGTTTTGAAAGCAGCAAAGTATGTTTTCGTAAATTATTATTTTTGCTTAATTTGATATTTAAATTTGCTTCATTTTAGTAACATCACAATATTGTTCCGCCGAATACAGGATTGCTTCCAATGATATACTCTCTCCGTTCCGAAATATAAGTCTTTCTAGAGATTTTAACAAGTGACTACATACGGAGTAAAATGAGTGAATCTACACTCTAAAATATGTCTACATACATCCGTATGTTATAGTTCATTTAAAATGTCTAAAAGACTTATATTTAGAAACAGAGGGAGTATTTAATATGTACTGTTTCTAATCATGTATGGCTCCAGGTTTAAAATTGACTCCTTTTAATCATGTATGCTTTTTTTTTGCGAGATATCATGTATGCTTCTTAGCTTGCAATATTATTTTTCGCTGTACAAGAACCATGCTTCGATGAGTGCCGTATATGCTTCCGTGTTTTTTTTTACTTCCTTGCAGCTACTTTTTCTTTCCTGTCATTTTCTTGCTTCCTACATAATTTATTGAAGCTTCGTAAGCCATCATTTGGTGCTTCCGTGTCACTTTTTTTTTACTTTCATTTCCTGCTTCAATAGTAGATCAATACACATGCATATTTGTGTTATTTGCTTCTTATCGGTACCAATGTTGCTTCAACACTGGAGCATCATCGTGGGGGATTCGCTAACAGGAGAAGGTGAAGCCGAAGGGGAGGGACGGTGAGCCACTAGAGGTGCCGGGGGGTCGCTGGCCTTGTGGACGAAGAAAATAGTGCCACCTTCCATCGGATCTTTTGTCGAAAGAGACCATCTGTCGAATGGAATTGCCAAAGAAGACCCCTTTCGGATGAAATAGACAAAAAAGCCCCCCTCGGCCGTGGCGGCAGGCGCGCCAAGCGACATGTGGCACCTGCCGCCACGGTGCACGGCGGCAGCCCTTGTCGCCACGGCGTCAGGCGACAACCTACGAATAACGGAAATTGGCTGGCGCGACGCAACGGCGTGGCGTGGTGGGCCCCTGCCGCCTAAGGCGCTGGCGGCAGGCCTGTAGCAGCTGCGGCTCGCCGCCTCGCCGACTGGCGGCAGGCCTGTGCACTGAGCATCGATGCAATAAAGAAAGACGCAACACTAGCAAGTGCAAATCCCTTGCAAAAAAGTATAAAGACCCCGCCAAAAAAACTAACAAATGGAAGTGTGCAATGATACGTAGTACCAAAGGACAGGTCAGTTTACCCACATGAGCATTTGTGTGGCGTTCATTGCGCAAAAACTACTAATACAAACCAGCGCAACCAGCAGGCGGACAGCGAGCGCACAGGCCTGCCGCCAGCCGGCGGGGCGGCTGGGCCCAGCTGCTACAGTCCTGCCGCCAGCGACTGAGGCGGCCGGGGTCCACAGCGCCACGCCGTTCCGTCGCGCCAGCGATTCCCCTTATCTGCAGGCTGCCGCCTGGCGCCGTGGCGGCAGTTGCCACGTGTCGCCTGGCGCGCCTGCCGCCACGGCCGAGGGGGTTCATTTTGTCTATTTCATCTGGAGGGGGTCTTTTTTGGCAATTCTATTCGACAGGTGGCCTCTTTCGACAAAAAAACCCTTCCACCGTACTACTTTCCCCGCCATGGCACCATCGATCGATGAAATCGTTGATGAGACGAATAAGTAGGATGTGTCGCTGACGAGGATGAGGAGATAGATTTTTTTTTTTGAAACAATGAGGAGATAGATTTGGAAGCCAAACTCGTGGTTGTCGGCCGGCTTGGTGCTCCTGGTTGTGGTTGGCATTGGCACCGGTACTCTTGCCCAGATACAAAAGATAGAAGCAATATCTGTATGGGATACATAGGAAGCATGGAATCTTTTGTGTAAACAAATGATGTTATCACAACGCAAATGAGACGTGATCACAAATTAGCATATTTGGCACCCAGATGTAGATGCACAAATTCATGATTAACAAACCAATTCGTGTTAAACAATCCATAAAAAAGAGGATAAATTAGAACCTAGGCCGTAAGACTAAGCCACGAGTAGATCCATGCAATCGGGTGCAGGTCAGGGCCTCCGCAACACGACCATCTACTGAGGTGGCTGCACTCCGGCGTGGTGGAGCTAACGGAGCATCAGGTGAGGGTGCTGGAGAAACGTCCGTCAGTTGAGGTGGATGCGACGGAGGAGAGGAGCTGGCCGACGTGGTGGATCAGGAGCCGAGCCGCATGGTGGTTCTGCAGCAGGGATGACGAGGCCGTTTCGCTTAATTGAGAAGGATTTTTTTTTGACGCAGACGATACATGACAACGCCTATACTCATGAGTACTTGGTAAATCTATTGACAACGCCTATACTCATGAGTACTTGGTAAATCTATTGATTTGGCATTATGAATGTTGATGTTTTTTCTATAAACTTGATCAATTTTTTTATGTAAGATAAACCTAAAATGGGAACTAAAAAGAGAAATACTATACTAGAACGGTGGATCAGAAGAGGACCAGACGGCGACACCGCAGGAAACGGAGTCAAAGCCATGCATGCACTCTGCTCTCGAAGCAGAGCGACCCGCACGCGAAGCAGCTCTTCAGCTGGTGCTCTTGTCGCTGCCGCCTCTCTTCTCCTTGATGAGCTTCAGGAGGCTGGGCATCATCTTCTTCTTCCTCTTGATGGTGAACGACGGCGACTTCGGGTTCCAGTTCGCCGCAGACACCGACGACCGCCGACCCTTCGACCTCTTCGACGTCGCCGACACCCTGCTCGACCTCCGCCGCGGGTACGCGCACTGCAGGCCCACACTCTCCGCCGTTGCGTTCAGGTCGTACAGCTCCTGCTCCAGCGCCTTCTGCTCGCCCGCCGTCTTCTCCGCCTCCGACGCCACCTGCGCCTCCCTGGGGCCCATCTCCCTCATCTCCCGCTCCGCCGCCTCGGCCCGCATCGCCACCTCCTTCTCGCTGGCCTTGAGCGCCTGCACCCACGCCTGCGCCGCGGCCACCTTCTTGTCGGCCACCACCCGGACCAGCGCCGCGCGCCCGCTCAGGTACTCGTACTCGAACCGCGAGACGGTTATAGTCCCCTGCCGCCGTGGCGCTGCCGCCGCCCTGGCCTGCATTGTGCTCTCCACGGCGGCCTTGAGCTTCTTCATTGCCGACGCCTCGGACGCCTTCGCCGCCTCCAGCTCCTTCACAGACTGCCTGATCCGCTCCTCGGCCGTAGCCATCTCCGCGGCGACGTTGTCCGCCTCTGCTAGCACGCACCGTTTCTCCAGCATGGTCAGCTCCTCCTCCTTGCTCGCCGCCTCGGTCTCGGCATGCAACTGCTGCATCGCCGCCGTGAGGTTCGACACGATGGCCTTGGACCTCTCGTCGGCGGCCGTGACGGCCTCCATCTGGGCCCTCGCCTTGAGGAGCTTCGCGTTCAGCTGCTGCACCTGCGCGTCCGCGTTTTTCTCCTGCGCCTTGAGCCGGTCGATCTCCTGGACGGCCCCCATGATCTCGGTCCGGGTGCGGTCCATGGAGGTCATGAACTGGAACGCTCCCGCCTTGATGCTCTCCAGTTCGTTCTTCGCCATGGACAGCTCGGCCTCTGCAGCCTGCAGCAACGCCCTGTCCTGCCCCTCTTCTTTCTTCTGTCTCGTGGTATCCTCCGCCGCTCCATCGTTCGGGACGTGGTTCTTCCCCATGGCGCGCACCAGCTCCATCTCGCCCTGCAGGACCTCCACGTCGGCGTTCGTCGCTTCCAGCTTCGCCTCCAGCTCCCTCGCGCGGCTCACCTCCCTGCGCGCCTCCTTCACCTTGGCCCTCGCGGCCTCGATCTCCCTGGCGAACCGCTCTGCCTCGGCGACGTGCTGGGCCTCCAGCTCGCGGCGCTCCCGCTCGGCCTCGATGCGCGCGAGCTCCACCAGGACGTGCTCCTCGTTGGCCTCGTCCACGCGCCGTTTCATCTCGTCGGCGGCCTGCAGGTTGGACTGGATCTTGCACACCGTCGCCACGACGTCGCTCTCGGCCTTGGCCTTGGCCTCCGCCGCGGACTTCACCTCCAGCTTCAGCTTGCGGAGCTCCCTGTTAACGCGGTCCAGCTCTTGCGACACCTCCGCGTACTGGGCGTCCGATGCCTCCTCGGCGCCATTCTTCCGTGTCCACGTTGCTTGCAATTCTGACCTCTGGGACGTCGCCTTGGCCTTGGTCTGGTCGATTTGGCGCTCCAGCTCCTTGGCCATGGCTCGTGCTCTCGATAGCTCCGACTCGGCGCCGGCTCGCTCGTTATCCACGGATGCCTTCCGCTCGTTCAGCTTGTCCATGTCAGATTTCGCTCGTTGTTTCATTTCAGAGGACAGGTTCTGCATACAACAAGGTAGAGATGAACTTACAATCAAACATTACCAGTGACTGCTTGATGGGATGGCAGAAACAGGGAAGATATGTCAAGTCGTCCATGAATTTCGGAACTGAAAGAGTACCTCTTGAGCTCTGTTCTTGTCTGCCTTTCTTCCACTGATGCTCTCGCCGAAGATACTCATTGTGGCTCTCACTGATCCACCATCCATGGCAGCCTCCATTGTGCTCCAAATGACGCAACCTAACAAGAAGTGTACACAAGCTACTAGTATATCCTCACCAGACAAATTTGTAGGTTCACAGCGATGCAGACCATTGGAAATTTATTGGTTGGAAGGGGAAGAAGAGGCAAAGGACAGAGGGGAGTTTATGTGCTGCTAAACGAGGACAAGTGTTTCGGCCTCAGCTCTATCCTTCTTGGCAGGACTCGGAGGAGCTCACTACCACACAACACAGCTGCTCCCGTTTTATCCACCTCGTTCCTGTCTCTGCCTCCCATCACGTTTTGCTAATTGTCTCTAGCAGTTAGTAGCTGACAGCTCCCATTCAATTTAATTCGCCGTTTCGCTTGTAGCACTAGAATACTTCTCTGGGGTTTTGGAGTAAAACAGAATAGGATTTTCGCGATGCCTTTTGGCCACATAAATTGCAAGTGGCTCGTGTTGCATACTTGCATTGTGTCGATGGGACAACGGCTGTATTTGGAAGGTAGCCTTTTTTTTTTCATTAAGAAAATATATTGTACTAATAACTAATATAAATAATATACTCCCTTCGTTCCACAATGTAGTGCATATAGATTTTTTGGAAAGTCAAACTTTATAGATTTTAACCAAGTTTGTAGAGTAAAACATATATATCTAGAATATCAAATACATACCTTTAGATATATCACAAGACATACTTTCATATTGTATATATTTGATATTGTAGATATAAATAGTTTTCTTTGCAAAGTTTGACTTTCCAGAAAATCTATATGATTACATTATGAAAGGAGGGAGTATCAGTCACATTCGTCATCCGGCTTCTTCAATATCATGATACCAAGAATTCACTTTTGCTATTTGTAAGTTGCCTAAAATTTTATTTTATGCAAATCAACTTCTCTTCTTCTTGTATTTAGTTTCCTTTTTTTTGTCAGATTGTGCATGTGTACCCGTGCACGTGGAGTGTGTGCTTGCGTGTTTCGGTGTGTAGATTTTTGACTTTTTTATCGGTTTTCCAAAGGGCTTTTATCGATCCACCTTTTCCCCCTAACGATTAACACTTCGAGAATTAAGTTACTTATTGTGCAGGTCCAAACACTTATGGAAGGAAATGAATCGATATCTGAGTACTTGGAACAACGGGAATATTTTCCCTTTTAAGCTAAGTTGCATCAGCCGCATCGAGAGAGAAGACACGCTCATACCAGCGCTTGTACCTGTTGCCATCGCCTTTCTCTCATCTATACGAACAACTTTTGTAAACAGAGGCATAAGAAAAGAAGAGAGGAAGACACCGGAATGAGATCCGGGAGTAGAGAACTTCATTCAGATATATTCCGGCTTTCTTCACATCACCCCCCCTTCATTCATATATGTCATCACCATAGAGAGAGTAGTTCCAATTTGTAAGGCTAGGGCTTGTAACTCTATTCATACTTTATCGAAGATTCAGATCAGATTGATCATTCATCTTACTATGGTAATTTGCAATATCGCTGATGTGGTTTTCCCCTATTTGATATTTGTGTTTGCCGGTTATTACTCTCTCATGTGTGGCGTGGGAGAAGTAGGGGACTGGTGAGATTCATTTGTGCCTATTCTATATGTCGTTAGTTGTGAAACCAGTTCTACTTCTATGATTGATTGTTAAGTTGATTATCTATGGTGTGTGTAATGCGTGTCGTCCAATTTAAGAACATAGGCAACATGACCCATAGCCCATGACATGATCAAGGAGTTGATTTTTGTTTGTTCCGGAAGCAAGCAAAAGGTGAAAGATATGAGATATACAAAGCTTCACTAGATTGCGAGATGACAGGAAGATATGAGATATCAAAAATGAGTATGGGTGAAGTGTTCTCTATACTTGAAATTGCTCAGAGTCGAATCCGAAAGAACACCAAACATATGACGATGGTTAATAAAACAACCAACTTTAAGAAAGCAGGTAAGACCAATGACAAAGGCGAGTCAAAATGTGCCAGTGAGACTGACACACAAGAAAGCCACACTATTGAGAGGGGTCTCCCCTTGGATCTATGTTGAAACTCATCTTGGTAAATTCCTATACACATCATTTGCCATCAAGATATCCTTTCTCAATATTTCCTATATAAACCATACACCCCCTTGAAGCCAAAGTCCTAACCATGTCAAAAATCTATTTCTTGTTTTTTACACCATCTGGACGTTCCCTCTGGAACCTCCAGAGTCACTCCCTAGAGCGTATAGAATCCAACACCCACTCCGGAGTAGGTTCTAGAGTTGATCAGGGGATTTGTTGGCCCTCTATGTTTCTTCGGAGGTTACTCCAGTAGTGCTGGAATCCGAGTTATCTGAAGTGTATCTCCGGAAGTTCCGGAGCTACCTCCAGAAAGTGTTCTGGACACCCGAACTTTGCTGAGCTCTTTCTCTCTCGTTCTCCCGTCACCCAATCATTTAACTCTTGTGAGGGAGAAGAGAGAGGATCACCCGATCTACACTTCCACCAAAGCTATTTGAGTTCCCCGTTGATTTCATTGAGGATCTGGTACTCTTGGAGCATGGGCTGGTAGGCGACTAGAGGTTTGATGTCTACTACACAACTTGTTCTTGTCGACTCGTGTTGGGCCTCCAAGCACAGAGTTTTGTAGGACAGTAGCAAATTTCCCTCAAGTGGATGGCCTAAGGTTCATCAATCCGTGGGAGGTGTAGGATGAAGATGGTCTCTCTCAAGCAACCCTGTAACCAAATAATAAAAAGTCTCTTGTGTCCTCAACACACCAAATACAATGGTAAATTATATAGATGCACTAGTTCAGCGAAGAGATGGTGAAACAAGTGTAGTAATGATAGTAGATATTGATTTTTGTGATAGGAACAATAAAAACAACAAGGTAGCAATTGATAAAATGGAGCACAAACGGCATTGCAATGCTTGAAAATGAGGTCTATGGCCCGTACTTTCGCTAGTGCAATCTCTCAACAATGCTAATATAATTGGATCACATAACCATCCCTCAACATGCAACGAAGAATCATTCCGAAGTTCTTATCTAGCGGAGAACATAAGAAGAAATTGTTTGTAGGGTACGAAACCACCTTAAAGTTATTCTTTCCGATTGATCTATTCAAGAGTTCTTACCAAAATAACACCATATGATACGCATCAACCAACTCTAATGTCACCTAGGTACTCGAATGTCACCACAAGTATCCATCAGCTAATTATACGATACACATCAAACAATTTCAGATTCATAATACTCAATCCAACACAAAGAACCTCAAAGAGTGCCCCAAGATTTCTACCGGAGAAACAAAGATGAGAACGTGCATCAACCCCTATGCATAGATTACCCCAATGTCACATTGGGAATCCGCGAGTTGAGTGCCAAAACATATATAAAGTGAATCAATATAATACCCCATTGTCACCATGGGTATTCATATGCAAGACATATATCAAGTGTTCTCAAATCCATAAGAGTATTCAATTTTGTTGGAGATATGCCCTAGAGGCAATCATGTATGCTGATATTTCCTATGTGTTTATGAATAAAGATAGTCCTTGGACATTATAAATGATGTATATCAACAAGTATGTGACTTGTTTGTGGGACTATGCATTGTATGATTACTGTCCTAAAAGGTCCCTAGTCGAGAGGGTTGTGTGGACGCGCAGCCGACTAGACTAGCATATGACACGGTCGATGGCTTGGTCTCACTAGCCATGGAGCATTGGATGCTAATGGGATAATACGGACTCAGAAGGATCTGGTTGAATTCGACGTATTCGGATCCGAGTCGAGATAAGGTCTGAGTCGGACAGACCCAACTATGAGATGTAGCGATATGTCATCTGTGAGTCTCTAGTACAATATACGTTCTATGTTCTAAGACCTGAGCTGGCGCATGTACTCGGGATGGTGATATACCTGCTTTGGGCCAACCAAATGCTACTCTGTGACTGGGTAGTTACAAAGGTAGGTTTCGGGCTTGCATGTCTCGCAACATGGATTTGCCCCTCCGATCAGGAGAGATGTACTTTGGGCCCCTCGTGTGATTCGGCCAGGATAAGCATGGCCATGCGACAAGGATTATGAGATAATCCGGTTTGTGGTTGGCATCACTGGAACGAGAAAGAGGTCAGGCTAGCACAAGGATGACAGACTCGCCTTGAGCCCGACAACATATATCGTGTCGCAAAAGGAATGGGAGTGTGATGTACAGGTTCGCCAACCGGCTTCATTGTCTACTTGGTGGTCGGCACGCCTTGCTAGAGGCTGCTATCAGCCAAGCAGGTTGGAGGTGATCCGACCTGCAACCAAGCCGACTTGAACCTAAGGGGTCACGCGCTTAAGGGGAGGAACCCGTGAGGCCGGATCGGACTCCACAATTCAGATGTGATTCTACTCGGACTCGAATCCTAGCCAAACAGATTTTGGGCTTTAGGGTCCATGCAAGGCCCAAGTGTTGAGCCCGCGACGGACGCCGCCGACAGTGTGATCGGACCTCCACTCGCCGCCGACAGTGTGATCGGACCTAGCAGTCCACCACACGGTGTTCCTCCTGCACGCGCGGATACCGTTAGAGGCAGTGCACCTGCGCCGCTCCAGCGAACTTGTACGTGGGATCGGACGACCGACTGTTCGAGGGAGACAGGACGAGGAGGAGATGATCCATGTTGACGCGCTGCCCCAACTCTTCTTCCGCTGCACGGCACTACACATCTAGTGGTAACAATCTGTGATCCATCTCCCATAGCATGTTCTTGGTTGTTCTGCGCGTAGGAAAATTTTAATTTGCAGTCGACGCACCCTACTGTAGAACCCCAATAGTGGTATCAGAGCCTCTGCTATAGGATTTTGATTCGGATCGTATGCATATTAGATACATGGAGGCGGTAGATGAGATCTGTTGTCATTGATGAGATCAGCTGTATGCATGGTTGATGAGATCAACTGCACATGGGGATCGATGTGGCTATGTTTTCTGATGATTGGAGTCAATGAGGTCGTGACACAACCTAC